AGAGAGAGAGAGAGAGAGAGAGAGAGAGAGAGAGAGAGAGAGAGAGAGAGAGAGAGAGAGAGAGAGAGAGAGAGAGAGAGAGAGAGATTTTGGCTCGGGAAAACAGAAGGGCACTAGATGACACTTATGTTAATCAAGCTCATCAGGGTGCATACAAGCAATCAAGATGTCGCAAGCTCAATGGAGACATTCATAACTTGGGACAACATGCGATGCGAATCGATATTGTCAACTGGCCCAGGTGTACACCTGGGCCACGTTGCTGTACACCTGGCATCACTGAGAGCGCTTTGGCAATTTGGCTACACACGTACCTCAACATGGCATCACTGAGAGCGAGTGTCTCTGTTGTTGCTTCTGCAATAACAGCTGGTACCTTGATAGAACCACCACAAGGTGAAACACATGCCACACACCAAAAAACTGGCACCAGAATCAGAAGAAGACAACAGAAGCTGGATAAATCACTCAGGAGTAGTCATTTCTCATCGTTCTTTTCACTCCTCGAGTCCTTGTCAAACTTCTCAACACTTGACCAATCATAACTTACAAGTGCGTTAATGCTTCACCTGTTCGAGGCATTCACAGACATACATAGACAAACACAACGGTTGTGTTGGCCTAACAGGCTGCTAATACTTAGATCGCATAGCAGCATACAATGACGTTAGACATTGGTCACATCTGGGAACCAAGTGCTTATGCTGCTTCGACATTACACATGCCATCAGATAACATGTCAACATTGGACTCAATTGACTCGGTCTTGAATAGATGCAGAGGATAGCCTTCAAAACAAACCCACCAGATTGCAGGGAGTAGGAACTTGATGCAATAGACCAATTGCCAAAAAGGAATCGCTGAGAAGTTGAAAGAACTCCCTTTCCTATTTTTCTTTTTCTTTTTCTTTTTTTTTTTCAAAACAACACAAGGCCCCTTCTATTCTGGGGCCAACACTCCGGCTGCTTATTACCGGCAAGCATGAAGGTACAGATGATAGAGAGAGAACAAGAGACAGCCTTGCCCTTGTGGCAGTAGACGGCTATGCAAGAGGGGGACTGCTATGAATCATTCCAGCCCCCAAACCCTGTCCTTCCCTCAAGGGCCACTTCCGCTGGCCGGGAAGCTTACTGGCAGCACCCAATCACGCAGCAGAAGGATCCCAAGGAGGCAGGATGCAGGGGGGGGCATTCGTAGCAGTCTCTCAGGCCGCATGTGGTCGTCCCATCCCTCAATCTCGGCAGAACCTTGCTGATCGAGCCGTCCTTCTACACTGTCTATTCCTACCCTACAATATCCCTGTCCTCCTACATTTTCTATTCCTGCCCTACAATATCCCTGTCCTTGCCTGTACAGAAAAAGAACTCCCTTTCCACACTGTACCAGATGGCTTTCTCTCTCATTCGCCCGGTGTAACCCTGGGCGCACAGAGACTTGTGGCTGGTGGATTACACTGGTTAATCCACCACTGCTCCCACTCAGATACTTCTGGCCATGGGTACACCACATAGCCAGACAATCAGGCACTAAACAAGGCAACACTGGCATACACTGTTACAGCCATAATTACGGAGGCCATCAGCAGCAGTGGGGTTTTGATTAACCAATGGGAATAGACCCCACAGAAGAATGGATCAGATGAAGTGAGCCACATAGCAATTCGCTCAGCCCGCCTTACCCGAGCCCGCCTAGGATCCAGTCCCCCTCGCCCTCATCCCGTTCCTGAGGAGTTTATGTCTTGCACAGGCCTCCCAAGATACTGCCATTGAGACTATAACATCAATCTAAATCACCGTTGGCAACGGGCAAGTTCTACGCTTCAGCGGTATGTGTGTCATGCGGACAGAGACAAGGGGCAAAGACACGAGGAGACAGCCAAGTAGATACACACGAGGGTGAGGACAGAAGAGAACCAGGCTTGAACATCTATGCTTGGTGGTATTTGTGTATCACGAAGAGCAGAGACAAGGAGCAAAGAGAGGAGGTGGACAAGCAGAAACACACGAGGGTCATACGAGTGAGTGAAAATCATTACCGCTTGGCCAAGCTCAGCCATCAGTCTGCATAAGCCATTGACGACAACCTCGTTATGTGTGAGCAATGCCGGCACAAGCAACGCATCCTTCAGTGGAAGGACCTTTGATATAAGCAATCTTGGCAATCCCTGCACGCAGCAGTCAACATCCCATGCCATATCATGCACTCATCCTTGAGAAGACCAATTCTAAACAGGTCGACTTGATATCAGCAATCTGGAAACCCTTGCACCCAGAAGGGAGAGTTATGACACAGATCATACACTTATCCTGGAAAACACTTCAATCGTAAACAGGTCCATTATCTGCACAACTTAACCATTACCACTTCTGCCAAATCCACTCTATAATGCAGTGCAGCAGTAAGGTGCACTGTGAGGGCGGACACGCACGATGTGGTCCACGAGCACCATGTGCACAGGTCCATACAAGAGGTATGGGGAGGCCCGCAGACAATAACGGGGAAACTGTCAACGTTGAACCTTGACCGGTCTGATGTAAGATGGATGTCTAAACGGGCCGTCCTGATGTGAATGCATGTGCTGGAGGTTGACGGAACGATGACCTTTCATTTTTTTTTTCTCCAGTCACGACTCACAAGTCCTTTCTTTTCCGGAACCTGATACACATCTTGATTCCCAAAACCGCAATAATGGCGGTATAAATTTCATGGCTTCTCTCTCTCTCTCTCTCTCTCTCTCTCTCTCACACACACACACACACACACACACACACACACACAAAAAAAAAACACACACACACACACACACACACACACACACACACACACACACACATAAACACACACACACAGAAAAAAAAAGGGGATTCTAGAGGTCAATATCAAACGGGCAGTATCCGTTTGCGGCCCCAAAATGTTTTCAAGTGAGTGATGTATGTTTCGGGGAAAGGGACAGAGGGTTGTGGCACCCTCCACCCTCCGGAATCTTTTTCTCCATCCCCTACCCTTTTTAGAGTGCACCCAAACACAAAGAGCACCAATCTTTGCTGGACGGACGGTCTGCACGTGGATAATGTGCGCCACAAGTATGCTGCTAATCCACTGATTACTTGACAGTCAGGCATGCATAGTATTTTGCATACTAGTCATCTACAACTCGTATGTAAGCGGGGTTTGGAAGTAAAAGAGCTGGATTTGGTAAAAGAGAAGGTTGGGAATGGGAATGGAATTTTATTTTATTTTTTTCCCCACTAAGAGGCTGGGACTGCATACAAATGCCCATGTGGTAGAGAACAATGCTCAACCCCAAGGGCCCAGTGCACAAGGCTTTCCTTGTCATCTCAGCCTCTTCTATCTATAGTCCTTTGAGGAAAGACCACCGGCTGTTCTCCATACACAGTAGGCCATAAGCATTCTACCACCAAGAAACGACTCTCTGCAAGAAGTGTTCAAAGCAACACAACACATTCTCCCATCCTCCACATCTCATTCCCTGACACACTTACTTCAATACGTGTTATAAGCTCCACAAGAACTTCCACAGCTTCCTCAAAGACCTGAGTCTGGTGTCCCTGCAACCAGACAAAGACAAATGAGCATTCCAGTGATTCCACTCAATCACGATGATGACCACAGTGTAAAAAAGAGTTTCACAGCTTGACCATACTCTCAGTGTCCTCACCAAATTCCTGACCATGCACTACTTGATGCGCCTTAATCGACAGCGAGTACGACCACTCTACCGTCATCTGTAAGCAGGGAGTTATGCACTTATCAGCGCCAGGGTAGGCACAGCTATGGCAGAACATTGAGGTTCAGTTGGCTGCAAACTCCACTTTCCTCATATATAATCATTTGAAGAATAGGCGGTTTCTGCAGCTTCGAGCATCTGTACGGGATTAAACAACAGAATCAACAGATAGGGATGACATCGTCCGACAATACTTTTCATTGATTACATCACAAATGGCCTGGTGAGCACACACCCTGGAGAAAAAGAAAGTCGAGAGCGTGCATTCAGAGACTCACTTAGTCTCACCGTGTGCTTATACTCGTGTGTTCCTCGTCCCACTCTGTAACAAACAGCTACATGCCCAAGGCTCCCACATGGTTTACCTGGGGGGGAGGATTCGCCGGATTTTGCACTGAAACTGTCATGCTGTCCTGATTTTCGTTTTTTTTCTTGTTTTTCCAAAATGGCAAATCTTTGGCCCTCCACTAACCGCGTGTCCCGAGACTTGCCCTCCGCTAACCGAGTGTCCCAAGGCTTACTTCTGAGGTTCCTATAGGAGTCATCATCATTACCAAAGGTTCGCCAGTACTGTCTCACAAGGAACACTGGTCATTTCTACGAACCTGCTAAGCATTCAGTTTCATCCCTCTTCTTCTCCTCCTGAAAACTTCCTCAGCAGAGGTTGGTGACAAATGGTCACAATCCAGTTCCTATACAGCAAGCAAAGTCCACTTGAATTTACCAGGTCCAGAATACAGCCTGGAAGAGGACAGCCAGGGAATCCCATTGATCTCGATCGTTCGATCGACTGTTTTTTGTCCGGCAATCGTACGCTGCTCAACACCTGCATTGATGCCATCCCCTTTACAACCAGACCTCCATCCAGGATCAATTCCTACTCGACAATTGCCAGCTTCTCTCCTAGGCAAACAGGGCTAAGATAGTTCAGCAGTACGAGACGGTATGTGCAGATTCCCACAGAAAGCAGATCGAACTGGAACAGGCGAAGAGAAATACCTGCGTGCAATACCATTGTCATCAGTGGGCCAGGATCAGACGAGCTGGCAATTCCTGGTCAACAATTCCCACTTTCTCTCCTAGGTAAACAGGGCTAGAAAGTTTAGCCGCACAAGACGGTATGTGCAGATTCCCACAGAAAGTAGATCAAACGGGAACAAGCAAAGAGAGATACCTGCGTGGGAGAGAAGGTTAACAACAGTCGTATTTTTCATCACCACTTCAGGATGCATCCTGCCTAAACAGGTGGTTTTCAGGGTCCTCGGACCTTTCACCATTTCAGGACCATTCAGGTCTGAAAATCCTGAATGGTCGTGAAGTGGTGAAA